GGGAAAGAAAGATTTAGAAACATTTTAAGCCTTCCTGAAATATCACCTCCCCAGAGCATCACAGAGAGGGGCCAAAATTCCCTTCTGATTTTATCTATTTATTAGGGAATGCAAATCAATGAAGCCAACCAATAGCCATTCAGATAATCTGACACTTTGTTGCTTAGAGATCAAAAGAAAGAAAGTTAATATCTGGCATTAAACAAACCATGCCAATAATGCAGAGGATCGGGGCAGATTTATACTTTCCACACAAGAGGCTGAATTGTATCAATTAATAAGAGGACACAACAACAGGAGCTTCAAGAGCAGGCTTTGCTTGCCAATGAGGGTATTCTTTCTCACAGGAAGTTCTTTTGGGAAGTGCTGGTATTTTCTCTTTGTATTTTATTATTGTTATTTCGTAACTTGTCACTCCTCACTGTGCATATATTGCTGACTTCCAGGAGATGATGATAAGCCAAAAGCTATTATTATTCAGTGTGTACCTGTACTTAGAAAGATTGCTGTAAAGCTTTGCTGAATATGGAATACTATTGGCAAGGTCATTAGTAGTATCATGCAGTGGATTTTATACGAACCAAAGGCCAGATGAGCACTCCAATCTTCTCTTTGATTCCTCTTCCTCACACTCTTACCCTCATACCTGTCAGTCACCTCATCAAGACTGGGCCAATTTATTTCCAGTTACAGCAGCTTTTCAATTTATGTGTCAGTCACAGCACCAGCTAGTGGTGTTTTGATACCTGAGGGAGAGCTATTCTAAGGGGCTGATAAATTGCCAAGTGTGATTTCCCCCTGAATCTTGGGGTTAGGCAACTAGTCTGTCAGATCCATTGGGTCTGGTCTTAAGCAGTTAGTGTTTGCCAACTTCCCAGTATTTTCTTCCTCATGCAGTAACAGTGGTGATCAACCTCTAGCTCCTGGGCTGGATGATGTGGCCCCATGTGCTGGATTATGTTGACATGGGATTGGGCCATGATCAGATCTGGTGTGTGGGTCAGTTTGGTGCATGAAGTAGGTCCACAGCCCAATCTGGCTTGCAGAGGCATGCCAGGGTGCTGGATTGAGCTCATGGACCAACCCTGCATACCAATTATATGTTGGGTCCAGCCTGCAAACTGACCTTGCCCACGGGATCTGGCCTGTGGACCAGCCCTGCACCACTCATGCAGCCAATGGGTCCAGAAGGTTGAGCACCACTCCTATAAGAATTAGAAAGGTTCCCTTGGCAACCTCGGCAAATTTACAATAACAGCAGGCATCAGCTTCCCTGGTGCTTGAGCCCAGGTCTTCTGAGTTTACGAGTGGAGGCCTGGGATATAGTGCCACCAAATAGCAGACTGGGTACTGGACTTAGCCCAGCCTTGGCCTTTCTGTGCAGTTTGGCCTGGAGAACCATGTGACCCAGGGGAGCCAATGGCAGGCACAAGCCCTTGATGGGAGGGCTATAAAAACCCTACCATTTGCCCTGGGGCCTTGTCCTGGTAACAGTGTTGGTAGCTTGGTTATATGGGACCTTCCAGCCATGTTCCGTCCTTGTTCCACGCTAGACCCCAGTACCTCATTCCTGCCTACCCTAGCTCCTGACCTCTGGCCTGGCCTTGACCACAGAACCATCTTGACCCCCCAGTGTAATACTTCAGACTCAGATTGATATCCGGTACTCTGACCCCGGGCTCTGGCTCCTGGACTTCCCATATTATAGAGCCTCTGCTCCTGAGGAAGAACCCTAATTTCCTCATGTCCAGGTTCTACCTGTGGCAAGAGGGGAAAAATAATGTCATTCAATTTAGAAGGGAAGACGCCATCCAGTGACCTGCATCAGGTTGCAACCTTGAACAATGAGTGCTATTAAATCACAAATCCCAGGCAGTCCTATTGACAGAAAACAGTTATTAGTACAATTCATCTCCTTCCCTCTTTGATCTTTTTCATGGGTTCAGCTTTGCATGCTGTGTTAGCCCCCTGTGTGTCTGAAGCCGATGTAATTTGCTTGGGGAAAAAAAAGAAAGCAATTTGCTTTTCTTCCTTTACACACTACAAGATTTTTAAAGGGCAAATCATGTGATGAGATGTCTGAAATGAACATAGCAAGAAGCCAAAATGTTCTCAATTTATGTAGTTACAAAATCCCTCTTTCCCATGTACCATGGTGACATGGGGGAAAAAGCTCTTTAATTTATTTGGTGAATTTATCAGTGTTATTGCTTTTAATTTCATCTGGTTTCTTTCTCAGTGCACCCAGCTGTTTGTTTCTTCTCCAGTTCCTTTAACATTTTACATTATTCAAGACTCTTTTTCCTACAGTCACTGTTTATGGCAAAATATAAGCAAGCTCTGCATAATTGCATTCTTCTGCAGCAGGGAGATCTGATCAAAGTAACAAGTTGAATGCACTGGAGTCACTGGATGAGATGACATAGGCTTAGATCAGTTGGTCTACCCCACAGGCTGGATGTGTAGAGCAGAGTCAGTCCTGGGACTGGAACCTGTGTGGGTTGGTCCACAATGTGATCCCACATGCTGGAGCCAACCCTGCACCAGCCTGACCCATACACTGGATCTGACCCCATGCCAGCCTGGATACAGCCGAGCAATGGTATGATCTAGCATGCAAAGCCACATTATCCAGCCCACAGAGCTTTCCTTGGGTTGGGAAATTTGGTTGCAGGGGAGCACAAGCAATTAATGTTGTTGTGCTCCCCTGCCTCTCAATTTCTGAGCCATGAGGCGCTCCAGGAGCCATATGACATGGCTTCAAGGCTGGATCTAGCTGTGGGCTGGAGACTGAACTCTCATTTCTAACAATGCAAAGCAGGCAGGGAGCAGGGTGGCACCTTAAACACTAACTCATTTAAAGATGTAGAAGCTTTTGTGCAACATGGGTAAGGAGAGGCAAGTCTAGCTGGATACCTTCACACTGATCTCACAGTTACCAGAAATGTTGGGAACCCCATGCATAGAAACAATCATAGCAAACAGGGAAGATGACCAATCATGAAGCTAGATCACCATCTTGGGCCAAAACAGACAAAATATTCTCTGCTTCTCCCATCCCTCTTGCTGTTGCTCTTTTGACCCCTGTCCAACATCTTTGACTGAAGCCTGTACTTTCCTGTATTTCCTATACTTCTCAGATCCTCCTCTGGTTTGCACTCTCCTTCAACCAGGGCCTCTCAGCAATTCTTCCCAGCTTTTGGAGTCTTCTCCAGCCTCCTAGGAGCAATCTGCCTCCTTTCTGATCATCCTGACTGCTGCCCTGTCCCTTTTTGTTACTTGGATGCTCCTTTGACACTCCCTTTTTTCTTTCTAGTGGCTTCTCCTCTGGTAAAAAAGAAAACAAGCTTTACAGCGATGCAGCAATGTTTGATGGAGAAGTGAAGAAAGTGTAAACCACTTATTTTTCTTATCTCAAAGTGCTGCTTTGATTAGAAAAGTGACTGCTTATGTAGAAACAGCACTTTCTCTTTTTTCAGCCCCTTCCATGAATCATCCCAGCTCACAGAACGCGCTTTCCTAATCTACAAACAGACATTGTTTTTGTCATGGAATCACCTGTGCCAAAATGTGCCCTGGCTCAGCTGATCCAGTTGGTTGGCAGGTACAGACATTACCCGGGGCCCATGTTCCGCTTGTCAGTCACGCAGGCTTCAGAGGCCCAATCCTGTGGAATGACCAGGAGTGTCTGCTCAGGGTTTCCTGCTCAGGGGTTCCCACAGGGTTTCCTGCTCAGCGCTTACAGGTGCGTGTCCCAGGAATTCATGCCACAGGACAAGGGACCCCAAGGGAATCACCTGCCCAG